GCCAGGGTTGAAAACCATTGCCTTAAAGACATCCACAGAGTAAGTTCTTAGTCAGAAGGGCCTGCCATAATTACATTTTGGAATCAGAGCTACTTTTGAGAGATGGTGTGTCTGTTCAGTGATTAAGTCTTTGAACAGATAACATGTCCCCACACTCAACAGTAGATGAGTGGGTTTTCCTATGGGGTGTTTTCTGTCCTCTCCCCCTGCTCTTCATCCTCTCTCACACACACACATTTACATAGACTTTAAAGAAGTGTTTCGGGATTCTAGAATGTTCTCCCTCCAGGTGTGGCTATGTCACTTAAAACAACGGTAAGAAACAGCTCGCATCCAACGGCGCAGTGTCTAACTCCGGTTTGGGGCTGGCGGGTTTTAAAATACTGTTCAATTAACAGTTAATTGTAAACTGGAACAAGATTCAGGATTCAGAAAGGTCATGATTACTTGAGCCTAGAAATTGGCTCCAGTCAGATGTTGGCAGTGGATCACAGATTGACTTAATGTGTCTCCCTGCAGGGTAGGTGCCGTTTTATCTTGTACACTCTGGCTTTTCGAGAACTATTACCACACGGGTGTTTCCCTCCAGTGTGCTCAGGACCACTGTGAGCTCTTAGATCATTTATAATAATGTTCCCCAGGATAACTAGGTCTTGAGTTAATTCAAACAATTAAATAGTAAACATTTTTTTATTGGCAACTTAGCAAATAGCAAAATATTGTGGTCCTGAAATAAAATAACTCTATCCCAGGTGTCTATAAATTATCAGATTTGGAGCCTGCAAAATACCAACAAAGTGTGAGAGTAGAGTCAAATACTTCTGCAGTTATGTGTGTTAAGGGTATAAACTCATGCTTTTTTCTATGTGTGTGTGGTTTCCAATGTGGTTGGAAATATATTTAAAACGTCAGTTTATGGCTTTGATAAATCACTGGGGTGCGCGCGCGCGCGCACACACACACACACACACACACACACACACACACACCACATTATTCATCGGAGGTAGTTTATATGCTTTGAGCTGGAAAATGATGAAGAACTATTTTTATCTCCCAAGAAACTAACCCAAGGGCTTTTGGTGGGCGTTTGATCTCTTAACCAAAGGGAAAAACAATGCAATTTCATTCTCTCTCTCTCTCTAAAACACCCTTTTAAGGAGACATCAAGTTGGCAGCAGCTGTGGGGAGTCTAACTGACAAATTGGAAGGATCTGGGCTAGTAGATCACGCTGTGCCTTGATTTTGTCATCAAACAAAGCTGGAGTGTAGAGGGCACTTTAAGAAGAAAAAAAAAAAAAACAACCAATTTAGGTCAGGAAGGACCCAGGTAAAAATTCAGCTTAGAATTCCATGTGAATTTGGATTCTGAAATTACGTGACACAAACATATGAATGAAGTGTCATGTAATGGACCTAATTTGAAACAAAAGTAACAATCCTATTTTACCTGCATTTCTGTGGGGAAATTAGGTTTAGGTTGGGCAAGCGCTGAATTATGCAAGGTTGTCAGAAAATCATCCTTGAAAAGCTGGCCAAATGTGGAGAGCAGGTGCATTATTCTATTAATCGGGGGCACCACACAGAGTCTTCTTTCTTGCGCTCTGCCTCCCATGGGCGTTTGCTTCTGTACTCCCTGGTTCCATGAAGAGGGGACTTTGCTTTTCCAGGGGGAGCTGATTCTGATTTGTATTCTCTTTCTTTCCTTGCTTACAAACTGTTGGCTGTCATTTCCCATGTCTGTCTAATCCCTCCCTCTGTGGCAGTGCCTTCCATTGTCCCCACATTGCTTATTTTAACCAGCTATAAGCTGGATCACAGATAACTAAAGTTTTCAAAGACAAAAATTTTAATAAAATCCAGGCTCTGAGTTCAGGGCCTGAGGGCCTGATCCAGGGAAAGTAGCGAGCTTTTTGTGAAAGCTATTACCGTGATTCAGAGACTGACTCTGAGGGCGGGGGTGTGAGGGTGGGCTTTGGCTTTGTTCCAGGTTAAGACTGTATCTGAGAAGGCTGACCCTCACCCCCACTGTATGACACTCAAGGATTCGATGTGTGTACTACCCAGGCAATGCATCTGACCAGTAGAGAGGCAGCCTGGTTTGGTGGTTGGGATTGAGCTCCTGCCAGGCCCCAGGCCTGAGTCCCACTTAGGACTCCTGTGACCCAGCACCAGCCACGTGACACAGCATCACTTCTGTAACCTCCATCTTGTGAGGAAAATAAGTTCGGAGCTGTCATGTGCACTTTTTCTAAGCGGCTCTTTAAAGTGCTTACAACAGGGCCTGGTATATAGTAAGTGCTAAATTAGTGTTTGTAAGTACAATGATAAAGCTTACTTAAGCTGCTACTCTCACTCAAAGACCGAAATATACAGATCAGCTTTTGCCAGTTTACTCAAGAGCAAAGCCATTAAGTGTCTCTCATCCCCCTGTTTATGAAAAACAAAAACAGAAACAAAAATCCAACCAAACACTCACTCTTGTGTGCAGGGTAGCACGTCGGGTGCGAAAGGTATTGACTTCAATAGCACCATATGCACGCAATCATTTTACCTATCACTGTGAAAAGTTTATTCTCTTCAAAAGTCTTCCATTTCATTTTGACACAGGTAAAATTTTTTTTTAAAGATAAATGTACTTCTATTTTTTTTTAAAGATTTTATTTATTTATTTGAGAGAGAGAGAATGAGAGATAGAGAGCATGAGAGGGAAGAGGGTCAGAGGGAGAAGCAGACTCCCCGCGGAGCAGGGAGCCCGATGTGGGACTCGATCCCGGGACTCCAGGATCATGACCTGAGCTGAAGGCAGTCGCTTAACCAACTGAGCCACCCAGGCGCCCGACACAGGTAAAATTTTTTAAGAGATGACTGAAATTTGATTAAAGTTAATCTATTAGTCAACAACAACCTTAAATCATAAAGGTTTATAGATATTCCTAAACAACTTACTTTATCCATTTTCATTTTAGCTCACATTCCACATTACTATGTAGGGTGTTAGTCTTTTAAAAGTTTAAATACAGGTTTTTTGTTTTGTTTTGTTTTAATTAGAAAAGAAAGGGGTGCCTGGGTGGCTCAGTTGGTTAAGCCACTGCCTTCGGCTCAGGTCATGATCCCAGGGTCCTGGGATCGAGCCCCGCATCGGGCTCTCTGCTCGGCGGGAAGCCTGCTTCTCCCTCTCCCTCTGCTGCTCCCCCTGCTTGTGCTCTCTCTCTCGCTGTATCTCTGTCAAATAAATAAAATCTTAAAAAAGAAAAGAAACGAAACATGTGCTTACTGCAGAAAATCTGAAAATTCAGATGAGCATAGGGGAAAAAAATTCATGCTCTTACCACTGAGGTCGATCAGTTAGCCTTTTATGGATATCCTTATTTTATCACATGTTATATATATTTGCCTACATCTGATCATTTGTTATATACAAGTTTGTATATACAGGTTAAAAGTTGGGGGGGAGAGATTTTTTTCTGATATCCGCTCATGTTAGAAATTTAAAAAATATAGGAGAGTGGAAAGAAAACAAAAATTAGTGACTGCTTGTGAGCAAAGAGATGCTTTCTCTGCCTCACATCACCCAGCTAGTGCTTCTAATTTGAGCTTGTCGGCTGTAGCATTTGTGGAAGAGAGATAATTACTGGCCAGCAGTCCTAGCCTCCGGTGGGGGGCGGGGTGTGGTCCAGGGAAGGCAAGTTCCAACGGGGTGTCCAGATGGGACCCTGACCTTAGGCCTGTACCGTGAAACCTGCTGGGAAGGCTCCAGTACAAATTCACCTGGCTCAGTTTCCCCTTTGACTTCTCTAATCACAGCAGGATAGTGGCTGGACTGGAACCAGGATCCCAACTTCTGTCTCCCAGAGCTGTACTTCTGTCTGGGACTCACATAGTAGGTCTTTAATAAATAAAGATCTACTGAATGAAAAAAAAATCACCTAGAGTCTCACCACCCAGAGCTAACTGCTGCTAACACCTTTTTTCTTTCTTTCTTTCTTCCTTCCTTTCTCTTTCTTTCTTCCTTCCTTCCTTTCTTTCTTTCTTTCTCTTTCTTTTTTTTTTTAAGTAGAGCCCAATGCAGGGCTTGAACTCATGACCCTGAGATTGAGACCTGAGCTGAGATCAAGAGTGGGATGTTAACCGACTGAGCCACCCAGGTACTGCTCATATCATGTTTCTAAGGGAGGACAAAAGTTGATTATACACTACATGTTCTGATTTTCAGCATGGTTACATGGGCACAGTCTAGGTAGGATTGGTGACCCATTATCCTGAGGGCTTTAGGGTCCACCACCCTCCCCCTAAGAAAGAAAGAAACAAAACCCTGATGACTCAGGTCCTTCAATATGTGTTTTAAGAGGTATAGAAAACATTAGGGAGGTTTTAATGTTTTTTAGTTATTCTTTTGGTAGCTTCTTTTAATGCTCACTCCAGATTTTCTCCATGATGAATTAATAAGAAATCTGAAGACTGCCAAAGTTTCCAACTTACATTAACAAGTGGGAAAGGAGGCAGATCTTAATGTTTCTCTGGTTAAACACACCAGCGGCAGACGGGACGAGCACATGGCCGGTGCGGGAGGGGCTCCTTGGCTAACAGAGCGCCCCAGGCACAGAGAAGGGATGGAGGCAGTGACTGGCTGAGCTGGCCCTTCCCACAGGGGCCTGTTTGGCCCCAGCCCTGTTGCCTTCTTCCACCTGGCAGTTTTCCATCAATGCCAAGACCCCCAGCTCTGTTGTGACTGCTACCCCCTCCTAAACTTTTCCTATTGAGAACCCGGCTGTGCCCTTCACAAGCCAAAGAGGGTCAGCTCGGAGAAAATACTCCGAAGGCTTTTGTGAAATCTGGTTACCATTTCCTTCCACTTCCCCTGGGCCTGTGGTTGGAAAGTTTCTCTAGCCTTTAATACAGATTTTTAAAGTTAATGATAAACATATTTGCAAATTATCTTTAATTCTGTCATGCCAGCTATCAGAAAAGCCCAGACCTCTGCAGAATCAATCCTTTACCTGAAAGGGGATCTCCAGTACTGTCTGGAAAGCCATTTTCTTCTCCCTGTTAACCAGAAAGCAACCTTCATTAGAATTATACCCATATGTGCACGGAGATAGTATCAATTTTCCAATGTAGTTAAATTTCCACCAGAGCCTGGCAGGGGAGGTGGTGATGGATCTCAAGAACAGTATTGTAATGGGTATAGAACTATGCATTTCTTCTAGAATAGGGGCTCCTGGAGGGCAGGAGCTTTGGTCTGTTTGCTCCCTGTGCTGGGTTCTCCATTCCCAGGACAGCGCCTGGCACACAGCAGACCCCAGTGGATGAAACAATGTGCTACATTTTACTTTTATTTCACACGAGGGATGATTTTTATTTTATTCCCTATCTACTCTTTGTTTGGGCTTGCTGTCAGTCCAGGTTGTAATTCGTTTCCGGATCTATTGTATTTTTTAAAAATATATTTCGAAACGGCGAAGAGACACGGTCCAAAGGAAGTGTCCAAATCTCTTGAGAGATGATTGCGTTTCTGCCCTTCTGCTGGGGGTTCTGTTTTTACAAACAAGGCCATGCTACGGGATAGGCTCCAGGTAGGGATACAGTTTCCCTTGCTGGGGTGTGGGGTGGGGTGGGGTGGGGTGGGGTGTGTGTGTGTGTGTGTGTGTGTGTGTGTGTGTGTGTGTGTGTGT